CTTCCTTTTTTCCTTTCTTCCTTCCTTTCTTTCTCTTTCCTTCTTTCCTTTTTACTTTCTCTCTCTTTTCCTTTCTCTCCCTTTTCCTTTCCTTCTTACCTTCTTTCTCAGTATTTGACCACTCACAAGTCACAGTTTTTTCTTTGGCAACTCTTCCAACCCAAAGCCAAACAAATATAATAATTCCCACAGGATGAAGCCGGTTTGTGTCTCTCCCAGGCTGGCTCAGCTCCCATCCCACACTTCCCAATGTGGTCCTTTGGAAGTTTAGCCAGATTTCACAAATCTGCCACATCTGATCACCTGTTTTGCTGTTTCCTTCCTTTCCTGGATGTTCTTCTGCCTCCCTCAGGAATTTTTTCCCTCTGACACCTGTTCCACCCCCTTCCTCCCGTAACCCTCACCCAAATCCCCTGTAGGATGATTTGCTAAATATCAACCTCATCCTTATTGATCTTTTACCTTCATCCCCAAAACTTCTCCTTCGCAAAACTTCCACCTGCTCCTGATGTTGGGAGCATTCCCGAGTGATGCTGGAAAAACATCCGTATCCATTAAAACACACTCACAGCCTCTCTTCTCCAGGCTGCTCTCCTGAATTTTTTTATCCCCTTGACTTCATCCCTTGCCTTCAGCTGAAGGACAGAATGTTTAGCTGGGACATTGGGAAGGAATTGCTGGCTGGGAGGGTGGGGAGGGGCTGGAATGGATTTCCCAGAGAAGCTGTGGCTGCCCCTGGATCCCTGGAAGCATCCAAGGCCAGGTTGGATCTTGGAGCAATGGGATGATCTTTATGGCCCCTTCCAACCCATTCCAACCCAAACCATTCCATGACAGTCATTCCTCTCTTCCCTTCCAGCTTTATTCCACAACCCTGTGCCTCCCATTAACTGCTTTTGCCGCAGCCACTTCACAGGGACTTTTCCCTGCTCTGTTTTCCAACTAAAAACTGGAAATTTTTCCGTGGGCGGCAAAAAGGCCAAATACAATTTAAATCTCAACTTCTCCCACCTTCCCTCCCTTTATTATTAATTCCTTTTGTTTTCTTCTAACCAGCCTGTCACCCTCCAGAGATAAAATTATTTCCTGGACCGCTCTGGCCTCTCAATTGGATGCTCCAACCAACACCAGCTCCGAGTGTCCCCAAATTAATTCTGAATCTCCAATAAAGGTGGGAATTTCTTAGGAAATTTCCTTAGGAAATCACAGGCACCATCAAGCACAGTGACCCAGCTGTGAGGGGTCACTGCTGTCCCACCTCAGGGAACAGCTCCTGTTTAGAGCAGCACGCTGGATTTACTAATCCAGTCACTGAAGCGACGCCAACTTCCCACCCGATCCAAAGGTTTATCCACTCCAGCCTTCCTCATATCCCACAGCTCCCAAAGAAAAAGCCCCAGCTGCTCCTCATCCCTCCCACAAACAGCTTAATCCTTCCTTGGCACGAGAACAAGCCGGTAGGGAAACCGGTCGTTAACACCTTGCGAGAACAAGCCGGTAGGGAAACCGGTCGTTAACACCTTGCGGCTGGAAAATGGAAACCAGCTTTTCCCAACACGGGAATCACCCTTCCCACTGAATTGGGAGGTCACACATCCCACCCTTCCCACCGAATTGGGAGGTCACACATCCCACCCTTCCCACCAAATTGGGAGGTCACACATCCCACTCTTCCCACCGAATTGGGAGGTCACACATCCCACCCTTCCCACCGAATCGGGAGGTCACACATCCCGGCTGCCGGGATCAACGTGGCCTCTGATGAGTCTACAGCCAGAACCGAAGGATTTTCCTGCCTAAGGAACGGGAGGGAGCCGGATTTGGCTGCTCCAAACCCCATAATCCCGATTGGAAATCTCAATCTCCAGGAGAGAAGCCAGTTCACAGGATTTTATAACATTTATATTCTGCTTAATTAAATATTCCAGCCCCAAATGCACACGAGTTTGTTTCCAACTTCTAACAGCAAATATTTTGGCAAAACAATGCCACGCACTTTGCCAGATGTTCCATCAAATGTTGTGGAGTTTTTAAGCCTGCCTTTATTTAATATTACATGGAAATACCAGATTTGGCTTCCTCTCTGCAAAGCTTTCCCTGTGGTTCTGTGATTCCCCTCCATCCATCCCCTCTAAAAATATCATTTCTTGTAATTACAGGTGCTCCTTGTTAAATTTGCTGATTCTGTGTTTGCAAAATCCAGGACAGATTTTAACAGTGTTATGGATGTTAATGTACTGAGATATTTTCCAATATAAAGTGAATCTTTACTTTGGAAGGAAAAAAAAGGAAAAATTCTACATCAGCAGAGTCAGTTTTAAGTTGAACAAATGAGAATTAAAGGATTAGTTCATCAGTAGCCAGGAAAAATGACCAGTTGTTTTGGAGGGAAAATAATAACCATGGAATGGTTTGGGTTGGAAGGGACCTTAAAGACCATCCAGTTCCAATCCCAGGGACACCTTCCACTATCCCAGATTGCTGCAACCTGCCCTTGGACACTTCCAGGGATCCAGGGGCAGCCACAGCTTCTCTGGAAAATCCATTCCAGCCCCTCCCCACCCTCCCAGACAGCAATTCCTTCCCAATATCCCATCCATCCCTGCCCTCTGGCACTGGGAAGCCATTCCCTGTGTCCTGTCCCTCCAGGCCTTGTCTCCAGTCCCTCTCCAGCTCTTCCTAACAATAATAAAAATAAAAATAAAAATAAAAAATTAGACCCTTCAGTGGGGTTTTTGGAACTCCTGACTTTCCCTTTCCAGCACATCAATTCAAGGCCTCAGTTGCACCTTGTGCCCCCTTATTGTCTCCTAATTCTGCTCTCTGCCAATGTACAATATTGATCCCACAACCAAACTCAACCTTTATATCATTTCTAATAATAATAAGTCCAAATAACACAAAGGAGAGGAGAGAAGGAGCACTGGAACCCTGCTGTGACATTCCCATCCCAGCTGGAAACCCTTTGTCCTTCCCCTTCTTGCTACTCCAAGCTGAGCTCCACCACGTAAACCACCCAACAGTGACTGTTAACTTGTTAAAAAAAAAATCAAAACAACCCTTGAAAAGAGCCTAAAAATGGGGAAAACCCCACAACAATAACTGAAATTCCCCAAATCCTTTCACTCCCCAGGGTGGGAGCAGCTGGAACCCCTCAATGCTCTCCCCCAGCTCAACCCACTTCTCCTCAGGGCTCTCTCAAGATGTGTTTGTGTTATTATTTATTTTTTAACATTAAAAAAAAAAAGAATAAATGACAGAAGGAAACCCCAGGGAAAAGGAAATGAGTAAAAGGAAACAAAAATCCCCTCCCCCAAAAAGCTTCAACCGGAGCAGCTGCAGGAAAATTAAACTCAACAGTTTCCAGATGTTCCCTGAGAATACTCATTCACAATCTCACTAAATTGGGCTCCTTTCTTAAAAACTCTTGGGACTCAGCTACTCAGAGCTCACTTTTCTTTAAGAGCTCTCAAAATAAAAGTTTACAGCCCTTTTGATTCCTGTTTGTGCCAGCAAAACGCTCCCTGGAAAAAGGGGAGACGGAGCTCCGTGTTTAACCCTTCCCAGCTGGGCTCCTCCCTGGCTCTTCTTCCACAGCTCCAGGTCGGAGTTTTGGGAATTTCAGCTGAAATTCGAGGTATTTTTTTTTCTTTCACATCGCTCTCAACCCACCCCCTCTCCCAGCAGAATAACACACCTGACTGATGGCTCTTTCTATTATTAAATTTAATTAGGAAGGTGCTCGGTGAAGCCACGGGGGGACCAACAAACATCAAAGGGGGAAAAAAAAAAAGAAGGATGAGTCCAGGAATTAAAAGTTAAAACCCCCTGTTAAGAGCTGTAACAATTAATGACATGCTAAGCCTGTATTTTTTTACCTGTATTGGATCAGTTTGAGTGTGGAGATGCAGCACAACTCACTTTGTCTGAACTACTTGGTGTAAAAGCAGCTGCTCTTCTCCAAGATTTCTCCTGCTTTAAGTGATTTGGGATTAGCTCAGTTTAACCCAGGGTTTAATTCTTTTTTTTCTCTCCTCCTTAAGATTCCTTTAGAGAAATGATACAATGATTTCCTCCAGGGAAGAAGGAGCCAGTCCAAATAAATGTTATATGGAGGGTTAAAGGAGGGTGGAACCAGGTGGGAGTCGGGCTGTTCTCCCAGGGAAAAAGTGACAGGATGAGAGGAAACAGCCTCAAGTTGCTCCAGGGGAGGTTCAGATGGGATATCAGGGAAAAATTCTTCATGGAGAGAGGGTTGTAAAGCATTGGAATGGGCTGCCCAGGGAAGTGGTGGATTCACCATCCCTGGAAGTGTTCAAAAAACACGTGGATGTGGCACCTGGGGACGTGGGTTAATGGTGGTGATGGTTGATGGTTGGACTTGATGACCTTGAAGGTCTTTTCCAGCCTTAATGATCCTGTGATTATCCTTAATTTCTAATTATTAACTAATCAGTCCTCACAATCAGTGAGGTCCTACAAGTCATTACAGTCATTATTTCTCTTCCACGGATCAGGAAATGACGGCTTAGGATATTTGGGTGGTTTCTCTCCAAGGGCAGTTAGACAACGTCAGCAACTCCATCCCATGAGTATTCCAGCAGAAATCAGGATTTAAACACCAAAGGACTCCACCATCACACCTTGCTCTAAGTCATGGTCTAAGGAGGGGTGTCAAGTCAAAGCTGATGCCCCTTAAAATCAGAACATTCCCCACGCTCCAGCTTTGACTTCCCTGGTCAACCAATGCTCCCACCTCGGAGAAAACACCACAGGTTTCTGCACAGCTTTTCCTCCAACACCTTGGATTGATCCAACCAGGAAGGGGCAATGAATCCTACAATCATTAAGGCTGGAAAAGACCTCCAAGGCCATCAAGTCCACCACGTTCACTGTTAAACCATGTCCTCAAGTGCCACATCCACACATTGTTTGAACATTTCCAGGGATGGGGACTCCACCACTGAGCTAAATACCTACACAGAGATGGAATTACTCTTAGGAGGGCCTAAGTCAGGCCTAAATCATAGTCAGCAAGTGCCCATTACTCACATTAAGCAGTCAGAGAGCCACAAGTCCGGCTCAAAGCCTCTGCCCAGAGCTCGTTAACCTCAGCTCTACCCTGGGCTAATTCACAGAGCTTTAGTCCTGCCCAAACTCCATGTTAAGCTCTGCTCAAAGCAACAAGTTCATCTCAGTATTGCCCACCAAACACTCCACTGGTGCCATGAGTCCCCAGGATGCCCCTGTCCTGTTAAGAACAAGTTGTGCAGCCTCAGGATGTCCAGGGTTAAGTCTCCAAATCAAGGTACTCGAAGCAAAGTTCTCGAGGAGCAAGAGTTAATTTTGACATGTAGCTACAGGTTAATGAGGGGTCACGGATCTGGGAGAAAGAAGTGAATATCAGGGACTCAGTTCTGACCTGAGGAAAATAAAGTCCCACTGTTTCCAGCCCCCACAAATGTTTGTACCACTTTGCTTTGAGTTTGAGGACGCCGGACGCGCGAAAAA